ACAGGGGCTCGCGCGCCCAGATTTCAACAGGCCATTCATCCTGGACACGGACTATAGCCGCCTGGGTATCGGCGCCACACTGAGCCAGCTGGACGGGGCCGATCGCGAGCTCCCCGTAGCCTTCGCCTCAAGGGCGTTGCACGGCGCAGAAGCTAACTACTCCACCACGGACGGCGAGCTACTGGCGATTGTCTGGGCGGTGACCGTCCGCTTCCGGTCGTACTTGTACGGCAGGCCCACGTTTCTGGTGCGGGTTGACCACAACCCGTTGGTTTGGTTGCATCAGCAGACCAACTTGACAGGACGACTCGCGCGCTGGCACATCCGCCTGATGGAGTTCAACTTCAGGGTCGAGTACCGCCCCGGCCGAGTGCACTCGAACGTGGATCCGCTGTTGCGCAACCCCGTGGCCCAGTTGCCATGGGAAGAGGCCAGCGACCTGGAAGACATGCCGGCCTACGTGGCACCGGACCTGTCCACCGCACCAGGCCCAATTTGCAGGGCGCCCACAGTTCGCATGTTGCGGGGATCAGGCCCCGCACCTGACACGGACACAGAGGACGAGTCCTTCAGCCCCGTGTGGTCGACGTCCGGCACCGACACGAGCGACAGCGACAGCGACAGCTTTTACGTGCCACGTCCTCCCCGTGCTGCCCAGACGCCGCTCGAGCTGCGCTGCACGCCCTCAAGAAAGCCATTGAGTATGCGCACACGCTGGCTCGAGCCCGAACTCAGAGGTTCGAATCAGAGCGGCGATTTGTGATTGCGCGCGCCCGGACGTGGCCGAGCCTGCTGGAGGAGTACGCTTTGTGGAAGCCCGCTCGCCAGGATCCGCGCTGGCGGGCAACCCAAACCGAAGGCCAGGACCCCCCCTGGGTCTCCGCTGAGCGAGCATCCACGCAGGGGACCCAGCCACGGACGCCGCACACATCAAGCTACGGACCGATTGCCACACCGTTTCCCGCACTGCCCGCACCTGCAACCTTGCCACCCGGCGAGGAGGTCCTGTATGAGACGTTCGACATCGCCACTCCGGAAGAGCGGGATCCGCTCACGCGCTTTCCCGAGGACCCGGAACAGCAGGAGACGGAAACAGGACTCCGCAACCTGCTGCGCGGGGCCAAGAGCGAGCTCCGCTTCTGGCACAGGAAGCGCTCACAATTGCAGGAACGCTTAGCGCACGAGAGGATCATGATTGCTGACCTGGCCGTTCGCTTTCCTGAGGTACAGGAGGCGTACAACAAGTAGAACCGCCGGGACGAGGACCCCTTGTGGCGCCGCCTGCGGCACCCGCCTCCCTGGCAGCGGTTTGATGACACCATCCCAGCGTTTATTTCACTCCGCTGGTTGCAGAAGAACTCACCGCGGTTTCGTACGGCGGAGGACCCTGGAATAACCCCACCCACCCACCCTACAGTCCGCATGGTCTTGAGCGTCCGGGACGCCGCTCTAAGCGAGGGAGCAGTTGATCATCCTACTCAAGAGGCGGAGGACCTGAATGCAGCCGACCAGGGCCAAACCCACGTCGCACAGGAGCGAAGCGCCAAGGAGTGCTCTGATTGCGGCAAAGCAGGGCACTTCTTTGCAGACTGTCAAACCAAGCCGGCAAAGAAGCGGGTTGATCCGCAGCTCCTCGAGCCAAGGACGTGCAAGCCGTGCAGCGCAGCCAGAGGGGCGCGTACTTCCGTACCAGATGACGACGTCGACCTGAACGAGCGCCGCTACGGAGCGGCCGAGCTGGAGGAGCAGGACGAGAGAGCGGCGCTTTACGAAGGAAAGATGGACGCGATCTTCTTGAGGAAGTACGAGGAACGGCATCGCGAACATCAGGCCAAAATGCGCGGGGACCGCGCCGCCTTCGAAAGCTGGCAGAAGCAGGGGAAGGAGCAACGCCAGGTGTACTTGGAGGCATGGCGGGGCAAGGCAAAGCCAGATTTCCGGGAGATCTTCCGGAGGTACCCGCTGAACCAGTTCGATGCGCGAGAGCGCCAGCTTGCTCCCGGGCGGAGAGCTTACAACAAATTCCGACGCAGAACCATGTACGTGGAATCAATGGACGAGGCGCGCAACCGAATCCGGCGGGAGTACTTTTCCAGGGAAGCGGAGCTGGAAAGAGAGGCCTGGGATTTAGTGTCGTGGCGCGCCAAGAACTGCATCGACTGCGTGGCTATGCATCTGGACCAGGACGATGACCCGCACGAGTCGGACTGCGAAGAACTGGGACCAGCGGAGCGGCCGGTGCGCAGGAGACTGGACTTTCAGGACGACGCGAACGAACCTCGCACACCTGAGCTGCCCCGGACCAACAGAAGGCCCACACTCAACGCGCCTTTGAAAGAGCTCAGCGCGGACCAAGCGCAGAGTCAGAAGGAGCGCCAGGAATCAGGGGCGGGTTTGGAACGTGACCTGGCACTTCTGTTCGAGGAAGCGGCACTGGACGATGCCCCTGCGAATACGGAGGTCAGGTCCGCCACTATCCAAATGGTGCAAGGAAGTACCGGCTCTTTTGGACCTGCACAACTGGACTTAGAGCAACCCGCACAGGGCACGCGCGAGGCCCTAGAGCCAGCCGTGGAGAACCCCGCCGTGGCGGAGGCTTTGGAGGAAATCCGCGGACAGGATCTTGACCCCACACTCGGCTGGGACATCGAAGATTACCTGCGCACGGCGTCCGCTCTGCGGGAAGCTGATCTGAACGGCTCCCTTGAGAACGAAGAATCTTTGGACGCCGCGCACGAGCTCCGGAGGAAGGCGCGCTTCATCAGGAACGGCGGGGACGCACCGTTTTTGGAGGGGACGACCGCCCTGGAGCGCGTGGCACTCTCAATCATGATCTCAAATCCGGACGCAGAAGAACGGGAAGCTCTAAGGCAGGCGCGGCTCGTGCTGCTCAATTTGGAAACACATGCGCGCGACAATCTGGAGGAGAACGTGCTGGCAAACCTGGAGGAGGGACCAGAGTCGGAGGTGAGCGCGACAGAGGCTAGCCCCCACGAGGACGAGGAGGAGCAGCCTGAGTTTGACATCGCGCACTCTCCGCTGCCGCGGCCGTTGGACTACCTGATCAACGACGATGAGGTAGCGTTGTACCTGTTCGAGAGGCAATATCCGGACCTGAGCGGGAGGACTCCAAGCCGACGCAAGGAAGCAAGGCGCGGAATCAGAAACAGGGCTAAGCAATTTCAGGTCAGGAACGGGAGGCTCTATGTTCAGAACAAGGCACCGCGCCGACGTAAGCAGGTGCCAGGGCCCACGGTACTCAAGCCCGTGCTGACCGCGGAGGAGAGGGACCTGGTGATGAAGCAGATCCACGACCGTGGGGGCCACCCGTCAATACCCAATACACTCAAACTCATCAGGGACATGTTCTGGTGGAAAGGAATCACAGAAGATGTCACGAACTTTGTCCGCGGCTGCCCCACTTGCCAACCGGTGAACCAACCGACTCGCGAGCGGACGGACGGGCGCACGCTGACTAGCACGGAGGTGGACTTGCCCTTGGAGAGGGTCGGCGTTGATCTGCTCGGCCCGTTCCCCCCGACTCCGGAGGGCTACACGTACGTGTACCTGTGGCACGACTACTTTTCAGGTTGGGTCGGAGCCGGCCTTGGGAAGACCAAGCAGAGCAAGGAGGTGGCCGCATGGGCTAAGATGGACCTGTTTGCAGGGCACGCCTGCCCGGCCACGGCCGTGATGGACAACGACCTGTACAAGGACGAGGTGAAGGAGCTCTTTGACGCCATGGGCACGCAGGTCACGCCGATCACGCCGTTTGCGCCGTGGCAGAACGGAGCGGCCGAGTCGAGCGTGAAGATCCTGACAAAGAATATCCGCAAGCTCGCGCTCGACCACGGCCAGAAGTGGGCAGAGAACTTTTTCCTGGCCCTGCTCATCATCAGGATTTGCTTCCGGACGGCGACCAGGGCCTTGCCGTTCGAGATCATCTACGGTCGCCAGCCCGTGCTGCCCTCAGAACGCCTTCTGGCAGCCAAGTACATGATTGGCGAGGCTCAAACAGACGAGGCTCAGGAGCGTGCCGCAGAGGACGTGACGGCCGCGGTGAGCGACTTGACCGCGACTCGGCGGTTCAACATCTTGCTGAGGCAGGCACACCAGGCCAACTTGCGGGCCGCCGCTTCAGCCAATCGGGACGTGACGCAGGTGCGGAGCGAGGCGGCCTACCGGAGGCGCCAGCACAGGGGCGTCTATCGAGTTGCCAACCTGACGCCAGGGCAGGTCGTGATTATGCGCAAAAACAGGCGCGAGCACAAGTTGGACGCGGGCTGGGAAGGCCCGTACTTCTTCCGCTACTTTTACGATGATTCCTGCCAGATCGCAGTGATCGAGGACGCACAAGGCCTTCGCTGGACCCGCCACATCGTTCTGCTATTTCCCTACCAACCGCGGGGCGCGGTCCGGGAGTAGCGCGACCGCAAAAACAGCGTTTGGGGCACGCCGCGTTTGGAGCGGCGCGCGAGCGGTTAATTCCGCCTCTACGGGGAAGTGCGGCCGGAGGTTCCGCTTGGCGGAGGGGTGCGGAAAATTAATTTCGCCCACCGCGGAGTCGCGGGCGGCCTTCGCGGTTAATTTAGGTAGCAGCCGCGCGTCGCGCGGACTTGAGAAGTTCCGCGCGCGCGCGAGGGGTCAATTTTCGACGGTCGAGGTCCAATTTACCGGCGGGCAACCGCGGGGCTGCCACGTGGCAAAATTTGGGCCGCGTTTAGTGGAGGTCAAAGTCAAAGTTGACAACCTCCCGCAGGTCACGTTACACTGTGAACTCTGAAGTTAGGGAAGACTGCTGATCAAGTTCCAGCAGTCACTTGCAGATCAGAACTTGAAAGCAAGATGCAAGGTGGCGCCCAAGGGCAACTTAGGAAGTCAGCACGTTTGAAGGGCGAGGCTCCAGGCTCAGACACTAGCCCGCTGCCCGCGGGAACCAGCAGGAGGCCCGGGAGGGCCAACGAAATTCTAGCGCCAGGCCCCGGCGCCGCAGCGGAAGCTGCGGAGCAACCAGCAGAACAGGCTGCCAGCAGCAGGGAGGCAGCATTGCCAGCTGCCCCCACTTCCGCAACAGCAGAGGCCCACCCCGGGAGTGCAGGCACAGCGGGGGAGCAGCCCGCAGCCAGCCAAGCTGCGGGGCAGACCGCAGAAGCTGCGGGCAGGCCTGCAGGTGCAGGCCTGCCAGATCTGGCAGCCAGCGGGGCTGCCAGACCAGCAGGACCTGCGGAGCAGCCAGCTGGCCCTGCGGGAGAGATAGCCCGCAGCTCCGTAGAGCACGGGGCAGCGGTGCCGGTTGCGGGTCAGGCGGGCAGTGTGCCAAACAGCAGTTTGGAGGCAGAAAAAGTTGCAAAAGTTGCAAAAATGGCAGAAACGGGGAAATCCTGGGACCCAGGGCTGCACAACGTGTGGGATTTGCACGGGGAAGAGGGTTTCGACATAGAGAGGCTGCAGGCTTTGGTGCCACGCTTCGGGATGAAGCCGGGGGGAGAGCGGAAGAAACTGTTGAGCGAGATGATTGGTCTTGCCAATGCCCTTGTCGGGGAACAGGGGGCTGTAGCCAATCATGTGATCCTCAGGCTGGCTATTGCCAAGGGGACGGACGAACAAAAAATACAGGGAGCTTGCGGGGCATTACTTTGGGGCGGAGCAGCGGGAGAAGGGCTTCCCTCGGGCCTTGGCACAGATTCCTGCCCCTGAGCCGCAGGGGCTGCTACGCCAGGAGACGGCGGAGACCGTTGAGGAGGCTCGGGAGGCATCCCCCGAGGAGACAGCCGAGGAGGCGGAGCCCGAGGCGCAGGAGGCCGTGGACGTGGGGGCACGTGGACGTGGGAGCAAAAGGCGAGGAGCGACTGGAGTTGCTGCGGGGCCGAGCTTGGAGAGAGCGGAGAACGTGGAGCCGGCTGATGTGGCGGCTTTGCGTAGATTCCTGCTTGCAGACATTGGTGCAGTTGACGAGGATGACTGGGACAGGAGGCTCTTCCCCGCACTTCTCCCAAAGTATAAAAAGTATCTCTCCCAGCAAGAACCGTTCCCGAATCCGGAGATGGACATCTTGGAGGAGTTCGAGGCGGACGATGTCTTCCAGCCATCCCCAGACGAGCTTGCGAACGGAGTTGTTTTCAGGAAGGGGGGCCCACGCCAGCTCGGGGAAGCGGGGCGGAACATGCTAACCAAGTGGGTAGAGAAGTACCCAACGGAGCGGACCAAGTTTGTAATGGACGGGGTCGAAGGCGAGGACGAGAAGTTGCTGGGGTTGCCGGGGCCGTTGCTTGAGCGGATGATGCAGCAGATCAGCGAGGGGACGTCGATGGAGGCGGTGTGGAGCAGGGAGCTTAATGCAGAAAAGGACGGGAATTCGCTCACTTGGGAGTTGGGGCGGTTCGTGGGCTACTCGACGGACGAGACGCAGACCACATTGGCCAGTAACGCTTGGGCCCTGGGTTACTTGGTGCAGCTCGAGAAGAAGGGACAGCCCGTCCTCGTGCCGCTGATTCCGGGGTGCTCGAAGGACCAGTGGGGCGACACGGGGACGGCAGTGGAGCGGCTTGGCAGGAAGGAGGCGGAAACAACAGCTTCGGACAGAGCGCTGTTCGAAGTCCGCCCCCGCGTGCGGGACTTGCTGCCGTTGGCCGTCGATCTCGAGGCCTAGGTTCACCTCCGGCATCAGGCCAAGCCCGGGTTCCCCGGCATTCACCACTTTCTGACCTTCAGGTTCGATCCCCGCAGTTGCACGCAGCCGCGAGACTTGCAGCTGGGCCACCCCTACTTCCGCTTCAGTTCGGAGAGCGTGACGATGGACGGGGTGCACCTGATCGCGATCTGCGACCTGCCAGACTCCCTTATGGACGGTCTTGACGGGGACCTGCGGACGTTCCTGGCGAGCCTGGACAACCGCGAGATTTCGGGGATCGTGGGGCGCTTCGCTGTGGACCCAGTCCGCAAGCGGGAGGTTGGCGACGGGGAGCAGCGGTTCGTGCATCTCGCGTACATGGGCAGCTGGAACGCGAGCACGGAGTGGCGGGACATCGTGGAGCCACTGGCGGAGAGCGCGCTCTTTCCCTACTACATGCTGCAGCAGAAGACCTACCGGGTGACGGCGACTGAAGCCGCACGAGGTGCCGGCAGGATTCTTGGAGACTCGGGGCTTCCAGAGGGGGGGCGCACGAAAGGAGGTGAGCGCCTACGACGAGTACCTGGCGTGGCGCGACCAGGCTCCAGCTAGACTCAGGGGCAGCCAAGTTATCAGGGGTTGGGCCGCGGGCTGCACGGACCGTGCTGCCAAGTACCCGAGCAGATGGCCCTCGGAGTTTCCGGGTGCCAGCGGTTTGCAGGGTTTCTTTGTCCCAGGGGTGCCGCTAGGGACGCAGCTCTACGTGACGCGGGTCAAGGACCTCTCCGCGCTTCAGCCGTTCCGCACCGGACCTGTTCCTCCGGCTGCGCCTGCGACCGGCCCTGCAGCAGGGGACGACTAGGACGACGACAGCGGCGGAGATGACGGAGAGGACGGGCCGCCGGCCAAGAAGCGCAGCCGGAGACGGGAGACTCCGCAGACGCCGCGTGCGAGCAGCACGGAGGGAGCGCGAGGGCCAGCAGTAGCCGCGGGGAAGCGAAAAGGTAGTTCGCAGCAGGGGGGGCCGCCCAAACGGGCCTTCAGCGCGTCGCTGCGGAGTGCGGGTGGCACAGGAGCGGACGAGTCAGCGGGACGGGCCTGGGTACAGGGCCGGGGCACTCCGGCGGATCGCCTGTCTCGCCTGCTTGTCGCAGTTACGACGCAGCTGCCAGCAAACGAGCAGCCCGCCGCTGACGTCACCAGTTTCACCTGGATGGGGATGATTCAGATGGCGTTGCAGGCGGTGGCGGACAACTCGGAAGGCGACTGCCCAACGAACGTAGAGTCCCTGCCGCTGATCGGGCTGCTCGCATATTCCCTTTGACAGGTGGCGGCGAACTCGGTCCTCGCCGCCAACGCCCTCATCTGCATCCTCTCGGCCCTGATTGCACCTGCACCAGACCGCGCATTAGCTACACTTCGTCGACGGCTTGGCGGCGGGCCACGCAGCCCTCACGACTCGGATGAGGAGCCGGATGCCACCGGACCAGGAACACAGCCAGCAGGCCCGCGACCGGGCGGGGGTGCCACCCAGGGACAGCAGCGGGGGAGCAGCGGAGGCGGACAGCATCAGCGTGGCACAGGGACACAGACGCAGGGCGGCCAGCAGCGGGCCGTAGCAGGGGACC